GGGAACTGGGGGCAGCAAACTGGGGACAGGGAACTTGGGACAGGGAACTGGGGGGAGCAAACTGGACAGGGAACTGGGGGCAGGGAACTGGGATGGGCAGGGAACTGGGGGCAGCAAACTGGAGACAGGGAACTTGGGACAGGGAACTGGGGACAGGGAACTGGGGGCAGGGAACTGGGGGCAGCAAACTGGGGACAGGGAACTTGGGACAGGGAAGTGGGGACAGGGAACTGGGGGCAGGGAACTGGGACAGGGAACTGGCAGGGAACTGGGGGCAGCAAACTGGGGACAGGGAACTTGGGACAGGGAACTGGGGACAGGGAACTGGGGACAGGGAACTGGAACTGGGGAGAGGGAACTGGGGGGAGGGAACTGGGCACTACTTTGCGTCGTCGAGAGCGTGTTTTGCTGCTGGCGCAGGTGGAGCCATGGGCCGGAGGTGGCAGAATGCTAGATGAAAGAGTGGGACTCTGAAATGGGCGTGAAACCTGAGGACCAATTCTGTTCCCCCAGGAGTACTATCTAAGGGCCTGAATTCACTACGATGCCAAATGCATCTGAGTGTGGGTGAAATCTCTGAGCGGCCAATCAAATGTGGCCTCTTTCTGTTGTTAAGGCAAGATCGCCCTAGCCACTACTGGGAGTGGCACTCGGAGTATTGCGACTTCCTGCAAAAGGCCAAGCTTGGAGACCAAAATCATAAAATAGAATGAAAATCCCCTCGGCATCCTTCCGGCCAGACCCACCAGGCCCCCAGAGTTCAAAAAAATGCAATAAACTTTCAGTTTTTGCAAACAAGACACCAAACCTAGGAACGACTCCACTGTTCCTCAATGACGGGGTGGCTGACAGGCATTTTGGTCCACCGCTGCCGCCATTGCCTTTTCTCCACTTGTCCTGGCATGTCCCTGTTTTTTTGCCTGTGCGGCGTTTGGTCTGCAGTTGCTGCTTTGTGCCCTTCTTCCTTGTCTCCTCACTTGTTTCTTGCCGTCGTGTTTTCTTGCTTGTCTCCTCAGTTGTCTTCTCATTGATCTTCCCACTTGTTTGCTCAATTGTCCAGCACGATGCATGGACGTTTCACACGCCGTTTAGACCTGCAGTTCTTTGCCACGTCCTGCCGTCATTCAGTCAGCTCGGCAAACTTCCACGGAAAACCACAAACATCCAAAATTTATAGAAGACAGGAGTCCAGGAGTCCACAAGAATCCGTGGACTGTGCGTCCGTTCTGGCCGTGGTGCATGGTAGATTTGCGGAAGGGTCTTGCAGAACGATTGCGGCTTGAAAAACTTTGACTTTTGGTGTTGAGTTGTTAGTCCAAGTGCTCAGCTTCCAATCACGGCTTAGGTTTTCCTACTTTCCACTTTGCCGCCAGGCTCAAAAAACACAAGAAAACATAAAAAATAACAACAGTTGTCCAATTATCCCAGCTCGATGTGATTTATCTCAACAATTGCTTCAACAGACCTTTGCCACACCCGGTCTCATGATGAACCATCAGCCATTCATGTCAGAAATGTGCAACAGATTTTTTGCACTATCCACCGGAACTTTCATGTCGACTGTTTTGCACAATGATGCACTTACTAGAGCCATGCACGACTTGCCGTGGCAACCAATGGCACCCTCTCAAAACCGAAAGACGCTTACAGACATTCGAACGCAACAAGATCTGCAATGTCCTCCGCGTGGACGTCCTCGTCTCGTTTTGACGTCATCCCGGAACCCTAACCCGTCTTCAGGTGGGGCCTCCGCGCGCGCGCGCGTGGGGTCGAGATGAGTTGCAGTTCGGTGGTTTTGGGTGGGTCAACGGGTCGATCTCTCGAAAGCATGGTTGACATCAACATGAATGTCCATGTCTCTCTTCTTTGGTGAGTCCTTTTTTAGGGGAGGTTCAGTGATCTGGGTAGCAGCTACTACTTAGTTTTGCTCTTGGGATAGGGAACAGCTATTGGCAGATCAGTGGGGTCCTTCCGCTTCACTTCGTTTTTTTTCGAATGGAGGACATCCATGCTTTGAGAATCGGACGGTCAGAGAGGCCCAAGAGAAAAAGACCGATGGATGTCTCCGTCGTTTCCCGGTCCGCTTGGTGCGGACGCGGCGGACGTCGACCGAAACGCCGACCCGGACAGTTCGACGGCCGTTCGACGGCCTCGTCGGGTCTGAGGTAAGCACATAATTCCATGGTTCTTTTACTGTACATCGTGGCACATGGCGCTGATGCTCACTGTCTGGTATTGGAGGGGCGACGATCTAACCGACCGTTGCATTGGACTGCCGAAGTCACTGTTGCACCGGCAGTTCACTGACTGATTGTTTCGGTCTCTTCCGCTCAAGTGATTGTTTATCTGAGAAGCTTCCTTCCAAGTTAAAGCTGGCATGTTTTGTTTTTGGTCTTCGGGCCGGGGAAGCGATTGCGGTTTCGAAGCCATTCTTGCTCAAACCTTTGGTCGGGGCCGCACGTTTCTCTTCCTGTTTGAGTGCTTCGCGACAATGGTGCACACCCAGACAGAAGAGTGCCAGCTCTCACCAGCGGCTACGTCCATCCTCTTCAAACTCTCCACCAAGTCGCTTGGAACTAATTGACTAGCTCTGGACAATGGCGGACATGAGTTCAATATTCTGGTGTCGCATGCCCGCTCGTGTGAATTGAAGTGATTTTAGCACCCTTGCCGAAGTGAAGTGAAAATGCTAGAGAGAATCCAAAGTTATAGGTGGAACAGCATATCAGACTGCATTCGTTCGCACTACTCACCTACGGGTCACATTCTTCTCATTTGTTTCGTGCCTACATGCTGTCAGATCTCATTGATGAACCTGCGGCACCTTTCCTGTTGTTTCCTCAGATCTTGAGAAGGTCTCCAATCGAGCACTGCTTTTCACGTTTATCAACGGCTGAAGATGACCTTGCCCAGCAAATTGTGCCTGTGCTGCTTACAAGGTTCTTGTTTGAACATAAAGATCTATGCTCGGACACTCCCGACTTTGGTGGAATAGAATCTGTCGACATTGACAACCCAAGAGAAAATGTTTCCTGCTACTCTTGCTTCAGACCCTTCATTCATGTGTGTTGTAAGCCCCAGAAATGGCATCGTGTCGGGCCTGGGTCATAGACAGACCCCCAAACCCCGCCAAAGGCTTGCACCACTCCACGGGCGCTCTCGAGCGGCGGTCCGCTGGCTCGAGACTAGCGCTCGTGGCGATGGCGGCCGATCCCGCCGATCCGGCAGGTCGTGTCACGCCGGTCGTCTCAAACGTTTTGGCCCGGAATTCTCTTCCCCCCTCCGGAGATTTCACCCACCCGTCAGGCTTTCGCAAGAGGACTTCGTGGTGGCCTTGCATCGTCGCTTGCAGCGGAGTTCCAGCCCAAATGACTGGACTTGGTCTGGAATTCGAAGGAAGTCACACCTTTGGGAAGATAGAAAGATTTCGGATGAAATGATGGGAGAAAAGAAATGGAAGGTCCATCCATCACCCTCTTAGTTCTTGGGAGTGTGCCGGGAAGGGAAGTCAGCATTTAAGTCAGCGCTTCGCCTTCTCCGTCTTCGTCCTTAAAGAGGGGGCCAAAGGGCACAGCCACGTTTTGAGCGCCCGAGGCCTTTGTGGTTATCATGCAAACCAGCGGCCTTATAACTTCATCCATCTCCCCTGGAAGCAACTGGCCGTGGTGAATTTCACCAGCCACGAAGCTTGCGACTTTTGCTTTCGTGTGATGAAGTGCCTCTCAGGCGTGAGTGGGGCAAGTTGGGTGGCTCGGTGAAGCGGTGAGGAACCAAACGCATGAGACCGACGGCTCGGCTGCCAGGGAGTAGCGCGTCCCCATTGGGGAGAGATGTACGGAGTCACTGGCTACAAATTGGGGTCCCTGGCATTAGTGAAGGTTCATTGACAAAGCCTGTCTTGTGAGGAGACGGATGCTGGAAAATCGCCGGTTTCCAGCATTTTCCCAGGGTTTCCAGGGTCCAACGCTTTGGCATCTGGCCCAAATGGCCAAACACGGCCGAAAGATGCGAAATGGAGAGACATTGTGATCCTTCTTGGACCTTTTTTCACCCTCGGAGGCCTCAACAATCAGGGTCCAACGCATACTTACGACATCAGGGTCCGCTGATCGTGGGTTCAAAGGGTACAAAGTCCCATGGATCGGCCTTACCCAGTTTTACTTCTACTTGTCCAGCGCATGTTTGTTGCAGCTTGCCATGAGTCGAGAGACCTTCGGCTCCGCCGTTTTCCCCTTCGGCTCCGCCGTGCTCGGTCGGTTGTTTCCAGGGGCCCCGGGCGTGCCAGTGTCCGATGTGCGTGAAGGTTTGCATCAAGGGCTCCAGGCACGACCAGAAACTCACTGAACATGTGGGAGGGCTGGGTAGACTGTCTTTTTTGTTGGGTAGACTCATGTGGACGTCGTTCAGTTCGTGACCGAAGTTGATCCCCTGGTTGGTTGGATCAGGTCAAAAGACCTGGTAGACTGGTCACTTATATACTATTATATAGGGACTCCAAAAAGGTCACTTTGGCCTCCCTTGCAACAACAGAGCCTTGGACATGCAGGTCTACAAAGTCATTCTTTGTTTTTGGTAATCCTTCAAGAATGACTTTGCAGCTGGATCCTGAAGCTCCAAATTGGGGAAGACGGGGACCGCTCGACTTATCGGTTTTGTTTTGGAGCCATGCGGCAGATTGAACGCTTTCCTGCCCTCTTCCCCAGTGGGGATGGCGGGTAGTTTCCCTTTGACCCCCATGCGGCGGATTGATCTCGCTTTCTCTCGGCAGGCAGGCGAGCAATTGTTTTGACTCGTGACTCCGTCTTTTAACTCCTTCTGAGGCGAATCTGAGGGGTCAACCACATACCTTGAGAGGCTTGTATAGTAGAATTCGCATGAATTTGTGAATGTTTATACACGCCTGAAGTAAAGATACACGATCCAAGCTCGATTCTCGCTAACTACACTGAAAGCACTTTGCTCCAAACAGACTCAGAGTGAAATACGACTGGTGCTCCAGGTCTCAAGGTAGTTATCCTTCTTCGGTCAGAAGAGTTGCAGTCGTAGTATTAGCAGTCTATTAGCAGTCTATTTTTCTTTTTGACCTTTCTTCTTTAGACCTTCCTTCCTTTCTTTTTTAGACCTTTCTTCTTTAGACCTTCCTTCCTTTCTTTTTTAGACCTTTTTTCTTTCTTTCATTTTTTTTAAAGACCATTCTTCTTTATACCTTCATTCCTTTTTAAAGACCATTCTTCTTTGGACCTTTTATTTTTTCTTTTGGAATAGTTGTGAGTTGTGAGCTTGGTGTTTTCACATCTGGCTGTGGGTCATGACACCAGCCGTAATCTGTGGGTTGACCTCCCTAGTAGTCTGTTCTGTTCATTTTTGGTGGGACAACCCAGCTGCCGCCATCTGGCCGAAGCTGGCGCAGGCGAACTTGGCCCATTTCTGTGCCAAGTGCTGTCGCTCGGCGGTCGGATTCGTCGTGAATTCCCCAGATGATTCGTGATTCGTGTGCCACCGTGGTACGGTATCACACCTAGAAGCAACAGTTGACGCCTCTTCGCAAGATGTTTTGTTCTCCATGGAACGGCTTGTTGTTCGTGCTACCGGGGCGACCCAAAGATTCTTCCCAACTGCAATTGGTTGGGATAGCAGTTCGGACAAACTGTTGGGTGTCCGAAAGCAACTCATGCAGATGACCGACTTTTGCGGGGGTGCTCACCGATGCAGGGCTCCCTACGGGCTCCCTGGATGGCTTTCCTGAAAAGCACTCTCCCAAATCGTCATCAAATTGGGGATGGCTCCGACAGGATGACACCAGTGATGTTCCACTTCCATGATGAACTTCAGGGAGTGTAGGTAGACCTGTAGGTATAGGACCCGGGAGGATGGGGAACATCAAGAAGGCCAGTGGTTAGAGGGTCTTAATACACACACACACACACGTACAAGACCATGGCATATCGGTGTGAGACCATGGGCCACTGGCACTAACATTTCGGTCTACAAGTCTATCTCGAACCGCTTGTGTCTCGATGACCTTTGACAATTTGTTTGGATTGGAGAACGGCAAGACATTTGCCACGATCACAACGAACACATTGTCACGTCTCACAGCAGCACGCAGCCTGTCACGTCTTATATAACCACCTTTCGACATGCGCCTTTGTTGTGCCAAGCCTAACTGGGCGCCTTGAAACGACGGTCCCCGCCCTTTTACACTCGTTAGGCCAACACACGTGTTGCCACTCGTCTGTCTGCAAGGCCAAATGAGCAGCTACGAAAATCTCCCATTGGTCTTCCTGAACAATGAGGAGATCCCATTGACCTTGGCATGCCAAACTTTCGCCGCTGGGGCCTTTCAGATCGATGGGCGAGGGAGATATTGTATATATATATATATTATACATATCTTCCTGGGAGTATCCGGAGTAGCCTTGTGGCGAATGGAATTCAAAAGGGTTGAATCATGCTTGACGCAGTTGGCCGCCCTGTTTTTTGGCATTCTTCCAGATTGATCTTTGATTCCCTGTACGGCGATCGCACCCCAACCGAAATCGCCAGATTGCTTTTCTTAGTCCACTAGTCCTGCACGAGAAGTCCAAGGGAAAAGCAGCTCCCCGTGACTTCGCTGGCAAAACTCATGATGCCCCCCTTTCACCTTCACCACCACCGCTGCCAGCATCATCATCATCATCATCGTCATCGCCGTCGTCATCGTCATCGTCATCCTCATTTTCCTTCTCCTCCTCATCATCATCATTATTATTATCATCATCATCGTCATCGTCCTCCTCCTCCTCTTCCTCCTCCTCCTCATCATCATCGTCATCATCATCGTCATCGTCCTCCTCCTCCTCATCATCATCATCCTCATCCTCATCCTCATCCTCATCCTCATCTTCATCCTCATCATCTTCCTCTTTATCTTCATCCCCATCCTCATCTTCATCCTCATCCGCATCATCCACAAGGAGCCTGTTTTGAGACTTTCAAATGACTAAAGTGCAATCCAAATTTTCTCACCAAGACTCTACGGAAGGTTTCCCAGCCTAACTTGTCCATCTCCTCGATGGGTTCCTCTTTTGTTGTTTCCCAGCCTAGCGGCGAGTGGAACGAAACCCAGAGGCTTCGTCCGTGTGTCCGACGTTGAAATTCCATACCAACCAGATCATCGTACTACACTCAACTAGGATCACCCGCCCAGCTTTTGGGGAGCTCCGTGAGTAACTCCAGAGCCCTCCCCCTCCGCAGGTCACGGATGAGATTCTTTTGGAGTTCCTGGAACAGCTTCCGGGCTCGATGACGCGGAAGGTGAAGGGCAAGGCTCCCACCTCCAAGGCGCGCGCGCAGGTTCCGGGCTCTTCCGGGGCGGGCGCCCCAGAAGCGGGTGAAGCGGCGAAGGGTCGGTCGGTCTCTGAAGGGCGGGTGAAGCGAACGGCACAGAGTCCTATGTTGATCAGGATGCGAACATGCCATTTGCGTGTTGTCACTCTGACTCCCAGTTTGGAGATGTTTCTAAGATATCTTTCTGCTTGCAAGGCAAGCAGTCATGCCGAAGGTACAGATTTCAGACACGGAGAACTAACCAAGAACTATAACATACTATAACGATGTATAGAACTAGAACTAAGAACTATAACATACATACTATAACATACTATAACCTGCAACGCCACGCATCTTTGACCAACACCGGGCGTGCTCCTCCGGCCCAGCCTGGCCGCCTGCCCGCGTTGCATCAGCCTTCCAGGCACCGAAAGCCAAGCGCATCAGCCCTTGCAGCACTCCCCCCGGCCTCCAGCCGTCGCCCGGCCTTGCAGGGTGTGTATTTCCTTTTTGGTGGTGATGGTTTAGAGGTCATAGGTTCAGAGTGGGTTCAGGGAGGTGTTTTGAAGAAAGAGTGATGCGCCCAAGAAGGAACCAAAGAGTGGAGGCAGCGCCGACAGTGAAAGGTATGCCATCAGGAGAGCTAGTTTACCACCTGCTGTCCAGCTGCAAACAAGAGAGCAGGTTTGAAGGGCGAGGCTTCAGAGGATTCTGTGACTCTGCGAACAGTACTTGGTCTTCAGTAAACATGCAGGACGCCCTCAAGACTCTTGTGATCTTCACAGCTGCAAGGAAAGGTTGAGTAGTTGCTGAAGAATTGCTTTGTCCCTTTCTTGGAAAGGTTCAGGGTCTGAAGAATCGATCAGAAGCCAGAAATGAGTGAGTCAAACACTGCATCCAGCTGGACTGTGCAGCTGGGATTTGGGGCCGGCCTTCTTCCCCCCCAACTCGGTCGTTCTCCCCGGTTGATGTTCACAGAAGACCGGAGCACTGGAGAGGGGCAAGAAGCTACACCGCAAAGAGAACCGCAAAGAGAACAGCTTGTCCTTCTTTGGGAAGACATGGGGCACAGAGGAAGCCACCTGCACAGAAAGGTTCAACTGCTGAGCTTGAACATGGCTTGAATGGGCCACAATTTCAAGGTGTTGCTTGTGTTTTGGGTAAGTTGCCTCCAAACACATTGACTTGAATATTCTGTTGAGACGAGATGCCACCTGACTTGTAGATTCGTTGGATAAAGCAGGGTTGGACCCTTAGCCTTACCATCCTGCGTTGTCGGTGTACAACATGTGTATACACCACTCCCAACAAACAGATGGCCACCAAAGCGTCTTGCGTGTTGAGTCCTCCAAGGCTGACTCCTCCGTTGACCCCTCCAATGCCCCCTTCAGAGATGGACGCCCGCTTTCTCATGCCCAAGTTCGAACTTCGAGGCGGACACTGAACCAAGGGCTTGGAAGAACACGTCGGAAGTGTCGATGCGGCAACCTGGAACCTGGAACCTTTGACACCCAAGGGGAGGACACCGTTCTCCTTTTCGCCAAGCCGCCAAGCTTCGTTTTCACCCGAGCTCGGTCGGACTCGGCTGGGTCGGACTCGGATGGAACGTCTGTTCGTCTCGGAACAACTCAGGGCTGCACAGACCCAAGTGATCTGGTCTGTTGCCCCAAGTGATGGTGCGAGCACAGCCTTTTCTTCAAGGATTTCCGAAGTGATCATGTTTTACTTAGACTTTCATGATCACGTAGGAGAAAATTCCGGTGGTAAGTTTCAATTAGCCTGATTGAAACGGCCATGAAACCGATGGATGAATTCATGCCACATGCGAACAGTCAAAAAGGCTTTGGCGAAGTGCCAATAGCAAGCGCGTGCGTGTGGGCAACACCCCAGAAAGCATCTAGGATACTGTACAGGTGAGTTGGACTCAGTTGGACTTCATGAAATACTCTAGGACGACTTGTAGAATTAGATCCTTTGTGGACTCATCGAGACTTTTTCTGCATCCATGTCAGTCGCCCATCAACTGTCGTTGCGGCCAGCAGGGGGGTGATGACCCAGGGCACCATGTAGACCCGATGAAGAATACCCACCCAGACAGCTAGATGGTACCTCTTCATACAGGGGGGAGTGCATCCTCCAGACCCCAAGAGTCTTTGAGTCAGTACCTCAGGTGGCTGACTCCAAACCTCAGCCAACTTGGACAACATCTTTGAGTATGGAGTATGCACTTGAGGTGCATCACTTGAGGTGCTGGCCAGACTGGCCATAGGTGTTTTCTCAGTACAACATCTTTGCTCGGAGCCTTCCAGGATCCGACATCGTCTTTCAGCTCTGAGTGTTGGATGTCGCGGCGCGGCTCCAGGACGGATCGATTTCAACGAGAAGGATCGATTTCAACACAAATCCCAAGCTTGGAAGCCTGTCATACATCTCAAGTGCAGAAACTATAGATGGTTTCGGCAAAGGTTTCAGCAACTGGGTTTTAACTTTGGTGTGGGGGTAAAGGTTTTGTCGTTTTCAGCATCAATTTTTGGGGGTTCAGCAACTGGGCTTCAGACATTTGCTAGGTCCAAGATCAATGGAGCATTCGACCCTCCCACGGAACAAAATGGTCCCAAGGTTGCAAAAGAAGCAGGTATTGGTTCTTGGCTATGCCTTCTAATTACTCGTCTGGCCATGAGTGGGAAGGTTGTCCTGCATAGAACCCTCCTTTTCTGCACTGTCAATGCCTGTTGATGCCAGGCAAATGTCTTGAGAAAGTAGCAGTGCTGCAAATCTAGCGTTTAGAGAGAGTAGGTTCAGTTTCAATATGTTTCAATTTGTAATGGAAGGGCAAGAACAATCGGAAGTAAACTTTGATGTTCGGAAAGGTGCCACTTGGAACCAGAGAAGAAGCGTTTCAACTTGATGAAATCGATCGAGCAAGTTGGTCTTGTCTGTGTTGCTCTGGGACGTCCTGGATTGCCCTTCTGTCTGTGTATCAGATGGGTCATGCTCAGTAGGTTTGGGCGCAGAGAGAGTTGAGATCTGACCTGACCCCTCATAGCGCAGACTCCACTCTTCATGGATCATCAAGAACGACAGAACGACAGATGATCAGAGTCTCCTGAAATTCAGGTGTGGCTTGTGAGAGGGAGCAGGAATGGAACAGAATTTGTTTCAAATTGCAGAAGTCTCTTGCACGGATGTGGATGAAGCCGTACATTTGGCCATCTCCAGCTGTGTGAAGCTTCGACTGCATATGCTGCAACTGGCCAGGGGCCAGTAGCAAACTCGAGCTTGGGGCATTGCCCATCAGGGTGTGGAGTTGATACATCCTTGCCATGTAACTTGGTGAGGTCGAAGCATGTCGCGCGAGAACTCGAACAACCTTCCAATACTCATGACCAGCTTCGCAGCAAGTTCGACTCTCTGGCTGAAGATGCGTGTGTCTTAAAATAGGGAGACCTCCCAGTGAAAGACCCCCTGTCGCTCCCACCTCCCACCTATCCCTTTCTCGAACCGAACCGGGGCGGCTGCACCGAACCGCCAAACGAGGTGGCTAAACTGTGGCACCGGGACGAAGCTCGACTACTGGACTTGGGAAAAAGGCCCTACCGACCTGGTATATCGAGGGGTCCCGGTCTCGACCGCCAACGAGGTGAGTTCTTCGGATGGTCAGGATGTCTTCAGACACTCGTGCGACGGACGAAAGTAGGGACCCACAGGGAATTTTCACTCACCACCCACAGGGAGCTACCTCATCCAGCCACTCAAATAGCAAGGATGCCATCGCTACTAGGGTGGAGGCCATCGCTCCCAGTCACAAGAAGTCACTAGGTGGAGGCCATCGCCATTCGGTTCTTCTTTACGAGTCATCGTGCTCGTCAGACCAGCGGCCCCCAGGAGGTCCACGTCTTTCGAGACGGTCGCCGGGGAGACGGTCGCGTTTTGGGGGTCGGTGAAAGCCGGAACTGAACAACAACGGCGAATGCAGACGCCATGACCGACCGTGACCGTGAGAACCATGAAACGACGTGCACCTTGCACGTGGAAAACAAAGCACCATGAACCAGCGAAGGATGAACCAGCAATGTACACCCACAAATACCTGTTCACGAACAACTGAACATGTCTGCAGAAAACGTATCTGACGCTGTCTGAAAAATGACAGGCAAAGAAACACTGGGACTCAAGGCATGCTTTTGGCTTAGGGTTTTTGAAGAAGATATATTATATGTAGAGGGTGCAGCACTATTCGATGGAGGTCTCTCTATATGCATCGGATCGGTGAAACCGCACGGATGTGAGGCCATGGTGTCCAAAATCGAAGCTGGTTCTTTCCCGGCTGGTTTGATGAACTTTCCATAGCTTAAATGTTCTTAGGACTTAAGGAGTGAATCCCCTTTTTTGCAATTTTTTCCCAAGAAAAGCCCCAAGGAAGCAAACACATTCCTCAGCGCACCACGTGAACACTTGGCATTTTTTTGCTCGAGAGTGATCGCGTGCGTTCGTAGAAGAATCTCAGTGTCTAGTGAGTCTTGTAACCGTGTCTATTGAGTCCAGTGCCTACAGCACCAGGTTGACAAAAAATAATGAGATATAATTCTCCTGGCCGTTCTTTTATCAGATGTTGTCATAACGAACACTTAGAGCCTCCCAAGGCTTTTCTGTTAAACACCAGCGATGGGATCTTTGCGAAATCGCTGCTGAAGAAAGGTTTGACATGTCACTGAAGTGAAAAAATGGGCCAAAACCATGGCCTTGGCCGGAAACTATGACAGTTTCTCAGAAAAGAACACCTTTGTTGCATGTTATTGCTGGATCAGCTGGTTGTTCAATAGAGTTCAATACAGTTCAATAGAGCCACACCCAAAGGAGTTTCAATTGTTTTGCGCACGACTTCCTGCTGTGACTTGTAGGACAAGACCAGTCGTGTACAGCACTTGCATCTATGCAAGTGGAAGTTTATTTCGCTGCGGATCAACCATGAAGGCGCCGAAGAATCATGGAACATCTGGGTGTTTGGACCGCTCCATTCGCTTTTTGCAGTGAACGAACTGGCCGTCCGCACAGATGGTTGGACTGCTGGCACTGGGATGTGTAAAATAGGGGATAGGAGGATCTTCGCCACGATATCCTTTTCAGGACATGGACTTCAAACCCCATTGGTTGGCGTTCTCCCTATCGCAAATACACACCCATGTCTTTTCCAAAAGCGCGAGCTCGGCTTGATGCCAGCTCGGCCAAAGACTCTTCGCTCGATGCCCTTCGGGCGGGCGACGGTCTCCGGTTTGCCCAGCCTTTCCACCGGTCGCCTCCGGTTTGGTCCAGGCCGATGGTCCAGGCTCCAGGGGTTTGGAGGGTCTCCTGCTTTGGCTTGAGGGCAGCACACCTCCTGATTCAATAGCAATAGTTAACCCCCCAGACATGGATTGAAAAAATACTGTACATAAAAATACTCTTGTCGTATTGTGGGAGTGAAACATCATCAAGAGTCTACATTACATGAGGTGGGGGTGAAAGGTTTGTCCGATCGATCTATCATGTGTTTTCCGTGAGCTCCAGTGGCGACAGGAGCTTCAGGTATGCCCCCACCAGATTGACACCTTGAGTCCTCATCCCCAATCTCCACGCAAACAGAGCGAGGTTTTCACTGTCTTGGATGTTTTGGGTGCCTCTGCCCCCCGAGTTCGTGCTTTTAATTGGAGTGCAACCACTAGTAGGAGCATTTTTTTGGAAAAGTGACGCTCCAAAAGCTGCTGGCGACCCGAAAATGCGGTGGATCCTTTTTGCGGATCCCATGCCTGTCAGCGGAGCGAAGTCGTCAACTTAGAATTCATCTCCAGGAGTCACAAAGGGGTGCCTATTGGAGGTTAGGGGTGCCCATTATCTACTCACTTAGGGACCAAACACCACCCCTTTGTGACTGCTGGCTTGTAGATCTCATTTTCCAGGCTTTTGGACTCACCCATAGCCGCCATAGCCCATTTCGATCCAAAGGAACAGACACTAAAAAATACTGGTCGAGCCTGTGGGATGGGGGCAAGCTGGTGATTGGTGAGATCTTGGGGAGTTGACCCGAACAAAGATAAAGACCAGAAGGAGGCTGGGAGGGTAATTGGTGCCGGAGACTTCGCCTCAAGCAGTTTTAAACCTGGTGGCATTCCTGGTGAATTCGTCAGCATTGGAGGGCCTGTGACGGCTGCGACTTGTAGTCACAGGAAGTACCGCGCTGCCGAAAATCGGAACGTCGTCGGACGTTTTGGGAGTCGGTTGGGGTCGTTTTTTGTGCGTAGCTAAGCTATAGCTTCGATGGATGTGGAGATCCACAGCTCTTTTTTGAGTAAAACAGAGTAGGTCAGTGTTCCTCTCATTCGAAGACAGAGTTCGTAAGCGGAGCTTTGTTGTTCATGAGTCGTGCAGGGCTTGGGGCTTGGTAGAGACAGACTTGCTGGATCGTCACGGTGTGCGCTTACGTGGCGAGTGTGCGTTCGCCGCGGGACCCGGGAACTGGAGCCCGGAACTCGTGCTTCTCTCCGGAACTGGAACTGGAATTGGCAGAAGGAACCAGCTTCAGCAACCTCCACGGAACCGAAATACACCAGGGAACCAACTACCAACCACACGGACACCACTCGTGGCAGGTGCGTAGCGACGCTGTGCGTGCAGCTTGCTGGCTTGGTGGGGCGGACCTCCCGGTTTCACCGCTTCGGGTCGAGACAGCGGGGAATCACCCCGTCTTCGGCGAACGACGCAACAAAGCGAGTGACCGCGTGGCGCGACTCGGGGACCCAAACCTGGGGAGTCCGGCCGATGGACCCGGGGTGGGGTGAGGAGACGAACCTGTCCAAACAAAGGGCAACGAAGACGAATGGGGTCGGGGGTCTGGGCGTGTTTTCGGGAGGAGCGCTTCATGAGTTTTCGTCATGTGGAAGTGATCCACGAACATCTGATGCTTGGGAAGAATCTTCCATGACTGGCGGTCCAATCTTTGTATGCTGGACAGTGGTTTGCTTGGAAAATGGCGAAACTTGCTTTGTTTTGTTTTTGTCCAATGGTTATTGACCTCCTGGTTCTTGAAGGGAGATGACCACCACGGAAAGACCGACATGTTGACATGTTTGCATGTTTTCATATTTTGGCCTTGGCTTCATTGAATTTGATACCCTGGTGGTTGGGCTGGCCACTGCACACCCTTTCTTTTCAACTGTCCACCAGCCTTTGACAGCCTCTCACATCGATTCTTCAGCTACTGCTTGCTACGACTTTGAGCAGCCCCAAGTCTGATCGACAACTGATCACAGGAGACAAATGATCTAAACTGTAGAAGCAGTCATTTCAATGATAGGCGTGCTGTTTTCAGCCTTTGTAGGTCTGGTTCCTGGTTCTTCGACCCTTCGAGACCTCAGATGGAAACCCCCATTCGAACGGCACCCCCTCAAAGAGGCTTTTGAGGGTCAATGGGGATTCGAACGGCTGTTCACGAACGGCTGACTTCCGCCGACGACTTTCGCGGTCGCCCGTCTACTGCGCTCGAACTGCTCGGGTCGACTCGCGCGGAAGCCGTTTTTTCAGCCAAAGCGAACTGCGCGCCACACGTGGGGGGGGTCAAACATGAGCACATTGGAGAGTTCATCGAACATCCTTTTCGCCAGGTTCCACGCACACACACGAATGGAGGTTCTTTTTGGATAGAGAGAGGGAGAGAGAGATCCCGAGAAAGCGCCCTTCCCACATTCCTATCTCCCCATTTTCCAAGTTCGAAAGTTCCTTTGGGAGTTCCCCCTAACACCAGCATCCTGGATCTCTTTCGGTTTCGCATGGAAGAAGGTGAAACACCAGAATCCTTGGAGGCATCCTTGGGGCTAAAAAAAGAAGTTGGACGTTCAATGACACAAAGGTCGTCCTTCTTGGGGCGAACTCGGGCGAACCCATCCACGTCCTCGATGCTGACCCAGCTGAACCGATGGATCAGCGGAGGCAGACGGAGAGGGACCGAGAGGGACGGAGAGGGACCGGCGGGCGTCGTGGGCGGACTGAATCCAAGGCCTGGACCTAGAGGACGTGACAGAAAGGGGGAGTCTTTTTGGTACATGAAATAGGGGAACCGACCAAGGGGGTGCCTTCTGAAAGGTGAACAAGACACCAGGCAACACAACCAAACGACAACAGCAGAAAATGACGAAAGTACTGTGAAGCACTACGATTTGCACTATTCTATTCAACACTATCAGCACTGCACCCAGGAAGCTTTTGACACAATGTGCATCAAGCATGGGTAAGCCAAAGTGGAATCACTAAATGCATGAACTAATTATCTAAGCTGCAACTCATCTATATAATCCCAGTAGAGATCTGCAATCTTATCCCAGCCTCATTGTCACTGGCACACGCTGGTGAAAAGATACTTCTGTGAGGGATGGGATATGCTAGCGGTTCTAATGCCGGAATTTGGGCTGGTCGATTGTTGTGGTAGGGCGGGTCACTGTTAGAATCTGCAACGTATGTAAGGACCGTGTTAGCGGGAATCACAGTGATGCCACTCCATTATGTTTGTCAAAGTCAAGCTGAAAACAGACTTGAAAACGCATGCTTCTTTGTAGATTCCGGACTCCGCACCAGTCACTTTGGCTGTTTTGACCAGACTTCGATATGTTGAATCATACGCAGTTACTATACGCTTGCATACGTATAGTTCTTTGCAACGATTGGTAGAGTGGTTGGTGGGGGAGGTCTTGACTCACAGCCATAGAACATGGCCTTTGAGCAGAATTTCCCTGCCTTTTGTGTCCTTGAGTTCGTAAACGTTGTGAGATGTGGAAACCGGGGAAACTTGGCACGGGCGGTGTCAACAGAGGAGCGGGGGCGGCAATTCCCCGCAGCCTCGAAGAATCGCATTGGTCTGACTGAGCCGATTTGTGCTTCGAAAGCCAGGACTCATTGTTGTGAACCTCGCTCATCTAAGCCAAGTAGTACCCAAGCACCTAACCCCCAAATGTCCGGCTCCCCTTTTTTCGGAACGTTGTTTGACATGGATCCTGCGACTTCCCGTTCTTCCGTCCAAAAGTCGAAAGAAATGCTTCAGGGGCGGATGAGCAAAAGCTTCGAGAAATCTCCTTGGAGTACAAAGAGGCGAGCGTTCTTCGCCCGCCGACCGAGCTGTACCGAGCGATCCCGAGGTGTGACCTGCTGGAGGAAGGTGTGACCTGCTGGAAGGTCCAGGTTTCAGAGTCTCAGAGGTTCCTTGGTCAACTTGCTACTGAGATAGTACCGGAAATCTGCACTCCAAAAACCAGGGGTGGAGGGGGGTTGCAGGGGGCATCTGGAAGAACACATAAAGGATCAAACGAAGCTTTAAAGAACACATGCAAAGGATTTAAAAGAACAGTCTAGTGGTCCCCCAGTCCCTTGGTCTCCTAGTCCGCTCTTCCCCTAGTCCTTCGGTCTCCAGGTCCAGTGGTCCTGTGGTCCGGTCTCTTGGTCTCCCAGTGGTCCGATCGTTAGGTCTCGACTGGTTCTTTCGTCTCAAAGGGAAGCTTTCTTACAGAAACTGTATTCTAGCACCGTGCGGTTCCTTTTTTTGGATCCTGTTCTCGTCTGATCTAGATGACTAGATGCGACTATTTTGGTCGGACTCTTGCCCGCTTTCTTGTTTGCAATAGTCTTGACCTGACGGGAATGACCGCGCTGATGATCTACCTCTCGCTAGCGCAGTGCTTTGCATGCGACACGGCGCCTGCGCAGCAAAGCCAACACAGAAGTGGGAACCCTCGTTCACAAGAGGGAAGCCGTCTTCGCCTTAGCACAAAGCATGCAGGTGGGCATTGTCGGAGAAACCTATCCGGGCACTCAACGCCGCTTTCGTTTAAAGCTTAAGCTGGGCTTCCACCTGCAAAGCGCAAAAGCCTGGGTCTTGAGGCAGACGTGGGAGACCTCGTGCACCAAGATATTCCACCAATTTTGGCTGGAAGGAAAAGGGCACGAAGCCCTAAAGCCAGGTCTAAAGCAACGGCGGCGAGGGGCCGCCCCTGCAAACAAGAAAGCCACTCAAGAGTTTAACCACTCCCCTCACTATGCTTGAAAGACCTTATCACGGCAAAGCCGATTTTCTGGCGGCAGAGAAGAGGTGGGCAGAAGGCTTGATTGAGAGCAAAGCCTTAGCCACTCGTCACCAATGGTTGCCATGCTCCGAGGGCTTCAAAGTCTTGCTTTGGCGCAGCAGCTGCTGAAAGTGTGCCAAAAAATCAAGGTGGGTGGAGTGCAATCTCTGCCTACACTGTTGCAAGTCAAACCATCACTCGGCGATGCACTCCGGAAACGGCGCGTGGCCAGTTTGACCGCAGCAGAGTTTGGAATGGGCTGGGTGTTTTTTATGCACTTCTGTTTATGCCGATATATATGGGCAGTTGTGGTTTCGGATCGAGGGTGTTTTCTTTATGCACCGGGTACCTTTTTTTAGGCAGGTGTTTTTTGATGCTCACGGTGCTTTTTCTTATATTTGTAGGTGGTTTCCTGTTTTACGCACAGGGATTCTTTTCTTATGCAGACGGTTCTTTTTTTTTTGCGAGGAGGTTTGGCCAAGGTTTCGGTGGCAGCAGCAAAAGCGGAGAGACCTTTTCTTTCCTCGTCTCCTTTTCCTTCCCATTCTTCTTTGAACCTTGACTAAGGATTTCGTTTGACGGGGCTCTTCAACAGGGATGCTGTTTGATGGGAGCCGGGGAGCCCTTTCCTTCAAAACTGCAGACGGCTTCTTTTTAAAAGGCTTTTATGAATTTTTCTCTTCCGCAGTATCAACCTTTTTGACGGGGGCTTTTTGACCAGCACTCTGTCTGACGGAACTCTTTAAGCACGATTTTGTTTGACAGGGGTGCTTCTTTTTAGGCTGGCAGACGGCTCTTTTTTTTAGTGCAGGTGGCTTCTTTTCTTATGCTCGGGGTGCAATTTTTGAATACCGACGGTTTCTGCAGGCTTTCGCCCTTCCTCCGTTGGTCGCAGTGGCGGCGGCGCAAGCAGTCTTTCTTCCTTCCTCTTCCGTCTTCCGCTCCTTTCCGTTCCCAGGGGCAACCGCTTTGATGCTGAACGGTTTATTGTTCTATGCAACGGTTCCTTTTAATGCTGCTGGAATTTGGCACTTCCCCAGTGACCTTTTTACTGCTGGAAGGCTCTTGTGTGTGCAGGCGGTTCTTTTTTTGAGCAGAGAGAGAAGACCTGTTCCGGAGATTCTTTAACTATCATTCTGTTTGACGGGAACACTTTAAGACGGATTCTATTTGATGGGGAGCTTTGACAGGGACTCTTTAACAAGGATTTTATTTGAGGAAGATTCTTGAACAATCATTCTGTTTGACGGGGACACTCAACAGGGTTTTTGTTTGACGGGGGCCCTTTTACAAGGATTCTTTTTGACGGGGACCTTGTTATTCTGTGGGACGCAAGTCGTTAACAAGGCGGGGATTCCGTAACCTGGATTTTGCTTGACGGGGGTTCTTCAGCAACGATTGAAACAGAGCAAGAAAGCTATTTCGCTTCCCTTGTCTTTTTTTGCCAAAGGCTTCCCTCATCCAGAGTTTCTGTTCTTATGCCTTTTCCTTCCTCGCAACTCCTTCCTTACGGTTCCGTTTTCTATGGTCGGCATGGTGCCCGCATGATCTAGTTGGCCTGGCACACCTGGGAGTGAAACCACCCGGGAGTGAAATTTAGAGGAAGGTGGCAGTCCAACGGTGTAAACCTCCTAGGGTCAAATGTAGAGGATGAAGGTGCCAGTCCAAGGGTGCATACCTTTTGTGAGCCACCCGAGGGTAAAATTTAGATTGAGAAGGTGCCAGTCCGACGGCGCATGTCTTGTGTGTGCCACCCAGGGGCTCCACCAATCCAATGGGGTTTGGAAGCCAGGCGGAGCTGGTGAGCGCCACCAGCAACTTCGACCCGCTGGGGAGACCCGGTTTTCACGGAAACTGTGCGGAAACCATGAGAAAACACCGTTCCCTGACATTTCGTTGTCTGTCGGATGCGGAGAACACATGGCTGAAGTGCACATGGTTTGATGAGTTCCACATTTTTTTGCATCCAAAATTAACAGAGACATTTTCCAAGTTGCTTTTCTCAACCGATTTTTTTTTCCTTCGATGAACGCCCACGCACTTTTCGTCCTATGCGGTGTGGGACCTCTTTTCCAGCTGAGGGGGCTCTGTTGGAGCTGGTAGCACTGCTTGTCAGGAAAATGGACCTCATGAAAGACTGGAGTTGGTCAATCCTGGCGCAAACCACCATTCCTGCAGGTCAATGACCTCATGAAAGACTGGAATTAGTCCTACAAGTCTTCGATCAGGAGACTGGACCTGAGTTGGACAGGACGTCCGTAGGGTAGGCCATGGGGTAGCACGCCGACACGGGCCGCCCGTTACAACATGTGACTGTAGCAGCAGCCACCTCGTTGACATGAAAAGCGAACCAAAAGCGATCAGTTGCTGAACAATCAGCAGGGGACGACAGTTTACAGGTCTCAATCCGAGGTCTCAATCTGGGTTCGCCTCAGCCATGGCGCCCTTTCGACCGGTCGGGCACCCTGTCCTCTCGGGCTCCGCGTTAGGTCGCGACGCTTAGGCCGCCGCTTTTTCCCTCGGATCCCGCGAGTCCCGAGAGTCTGGGTCAAAATCCATGGAGATCCACCAGTTTCACGTTTTGACCATGGCCGGTGGCACCTTGCTTGATGGTTTGGCATTGGGGTCGTTTGAATGGCCAATACCACTCAAACGATGTTGTTGAGGGGTACAGAAATGCTGCATTTTGGTTCTCTGTCTGCTCGAGATGGGCTTGGTTTCTTTCTTCTGATTCAGTCTGCTTTCAGATTGCTTGGGTCAGCAACAGGATAATTCGTGGAGCAGTGGGCCTCGAAATCAGGAGATTGCAGACATAGGAGCTACAGCATCTGCTATCCAAAGGTACTTAAAGCAACGTTAGACATACGCACTGTAGGATTGGAAGATTCGTTCTACCTCTCTCTCTCTCTCTATAAATCCTATATATATATATACAATATATACCTGCAACTTCGTGGCTGTTCTTTTTTGGTCGGTAGTTTGACATGCCTTTGTTCAGGTCTGTGAACCAAATAAACATCCGCAACCAACATAAACATCCGCTCAAAAAACACGTTCGGGGAAAAACCTGTGGCTCACCAATAAACGCCAATAGCTTGTGTATAAACGCCCGTGAAATATGAGAAAAGATCAGAAAACTAGAGAAAGGTTCGCAGATTCAGATTGTCAAATATAAGGCTGCAGGTCGCAAAAAAAAAACATTGAGGAAGTTCCAGGTATGCATATATTCTATAGGACGAGACCCCCGAAACCGAGCCGCCACCACACCAGCCTCCCGCGTCCTCGCCAGGCTCTGGCAACTACGGCTGCGTGTATCGGGGTACTTTAAAGGATGGACATGAGGCAGGTGCTTTCGAGTCTCGTGTGTCTCCGCCGGGGTCAGCAGGGTCACCCTGGGCGAACGGCTTTTGGCAATGCATGAATTAGCTCCAAGAAAGGATCGGCTCATCATTGGGGGATTTTCCATCCCCCCTCATCCGAAAATGTACTGTCTTCTGATTCTACTTCTTCTCACCAAGTGCAGTCAGCTTCTGTTTCTGACATACTTTGATCAATCCTGTCACTGAAGTATGGACTCATCCCCTGCTTACGTCCTTACTTTGGCTACTGGCTACGTCCGCTGCCTTTCATTCACCCCCTTCGCACCGCAAAGCGCAGAAGTGGACGTCACAAGTCTTCGATGCGCAGATGAAACACATCGGTGGACGATTTCACAGGGTCGGTTGTGGGGAAGCGATCCTACAGAGATATGTACATATATATATAATATAAATATATATCTTTTCAGTGTGCAATTTCAACAGAACTTGTTTGGTTTCTCAAGCTTGTTCCTCCTCATGAAAACATTGGGGGCCACACTGGGGAGGATCATTGGACCTCGATGGGAGTTGGGTTCTGTGGATCGACACGATGTTCGAGCGGAGTCTCGAACATCCCAGCGGAGTCTCGTTGCTTTGGACACTGCCGATGCCGGAGCAGAGCGGCTCCGTTGCGGATGGTGATGTGATGCCTTCCTTTCCCTGGCCCTGGCCTTCCGATCAACCATTGAAAAGATGTTGGACCTGGTTTTGTGGTGCAAATCCTTTGTTAGAAAGCATGGAATCCCAGGGTTTGAGTTGATCATCCTCTTTGCAACCGCCCTGAGTATACACCAACTGCACAAGCTGACGCTGGGTGTATAGGAACATCATCCCGTCAGGCGTTCTATGTCCGTTTCCCACTCTGAAAAATAGAAGGTGGCTATACATATATATATATATATGTATACATACACATATATATATATGTATATATACAGGTCGCCGCTGGTATTCCACGCGTTCGTCTCCGAGAGTTTCCTTCTTGGCTGACGAGAGGAACATTTGGGTCACCGTGTGGCGCCGGCAGGTGGCGATCAAGGTCATCGAGGTGGATGAAGAGGACACCTCTGGCTTTGCCGACGAGGCCAGGGCCCAGGGCGTCTCGCAGACGTTCTCCGTCAGACGTCTCCCGTGCGGTGCTTCGGAGTCCCATGCGTTTTGGGAAAAGGTATTTTTGGGGTTCCGGAGTGGGGGTGAGGTGGATTCATTGGCAAGGATGCGGATTCGTTGGATGGGGGGAGAACCCCAAAGAAGTGACCCAAGGCCCTCCGCAGTCCCTCCATCCATCGCCGCTTTCGCCGCGCTTCGCCACGCGAAACGCCGGTTTCTTCCCGTCTCGGTGATGCGCCGGGTTCGCCCGCATCTCTCCGTCACGGAGAGGTTTTGTGAGGACCACCCCTATGGTTTGGTTGCGGGGGGCGGGCATCGGACCGGGGGTGGTTGGCTGATCCACTTGCAATTGGATCAATGAACGAACATGGGATGAGCAGGTGAAGTAGATGAGGCAGAAAGTAGGCCAACAGAGATTGGGTTCAGATCTTGGAGTTCAAGAGTCATTGGGGATGGCTTCGAGAAGAGTCATCAGAATATTCTAGATTCTAGAAGTCCAAATACTTTGGCCCCACTGAAGTAAAGGAAATTCCTAGACTCCGGTCACCTAGTCAGACCCTCTTTGAATGGTCGACCGGACTCCCTGGGAAGAGCGACTCTACTGCTGAAGGCCCATAGCATGGGTGGTGTAGGGCAGCACATATGGCCGTTGATCCCAGCCCTCTATATACGTGTGCGTTGTTCGTTTCTTCCAGGAACACGACAGGGCAGAATGATTTTGGGAAGGATCCTCTGACTTTCTTGGGCTCTTTCCCTGTGCTACGGTAAAACGATTCCACTCCCATCAAGGAAGTGGGTTGGCATGGCCTCGATTTCGGACGACCATTTTTCTGAACATCAAACATTTGGTTTTCCACTTTCATCATGATTCCAGGGAGCGTAGTTGTTTTGTTTCGACGACTTCCCTGGTCTTCCCTGATCTGTCCTGTGCGAAGGACACAGTGATGTTTCTCGCATGTTTACCATGCGTTCACTGTGGACGGAATGCTTCCCTTCTCGGAATTCAACAAAAGGACATGGCACATAATAATGGGACATCATTGGAAATTGACAAGAAACTGCTAGGAGGTCTTTGAAGCTACTAGGAACAAGAAGCTACTAGGAGCAAAGGGCATCGCTACTAGGAGCAAGGACGCTACTAGGGGCTCCTGGCCATACTACTAGGAACAAGAACGCTACTAGGAGCAAAGGGCAACGCTACTAGGAACAAGAAGCTACTAGTGACAAGAAACTTCCTTGAGAGTCGTTTCACCTGTAGTCACAAGAAGCTACTAGTAGGTCAATGAGTGATTTTCATCCTTCTGACGACATGACCGACCCTCGAAGAGCCTCTTGGAAAAACCCGGAGCGGCAAGCAAGTTCAACCTCCGAGTTCCACCCACATTCTTGCTTCTAGACCACTCGGCTGCGTCAACACACGCGGATTTTCGATCTTGGCAGGTGCTGGTCCTGAGCAAATTTCGTCACCCAAATTTGGCGCGGCGGCCTGGATTTGGGGCGTGGCTCATGGGACGAAATCTGGAGATTTGGGGGAGGTGAGCACGGTTGGAGGGCTCGGGTAATTCAACGGGAGCCTGTGTGGCACCGCTCGAAAAGCCTTGAATTCCAGTGATGGTGTGGTTTGCACTCTTGGACGAATCAACTCCCCCGCATTTGCTTTGACCTCTGTAGACCTGAACAGCTTTGATTCATCCACTCTACCAAGATCTCTCCTCCTTCCGGGGGGCTCTGAACACCTCGTGGGGCCCGGGGTTGTGCGAACCGGTTCGCCGGGCTCGGTGAGCCGTGCATTGGGCTGGAGGAAGTTCACCGGGAAACTCACGGTTTTCACAGTGAAACCGATTCGTTGGATCGTTTGGTGTGTCTTTTTTCTCTTCCAAGACCCTTTGTTTAGAGTTGGTACAATGTGATACAGGAGTTTTCTCCTTCCAATCTGACCTGCTACCCCAAACACCGGTTTTTCGGTGAAGGTCTTTGTCCGGGAGTCCGGAGTCTTCTGTTGCCCCGTTGATCCCTTCCCTGCCCCTTTCGGTCCTTCCCCTGCGCCCTGGGTGCGCCCCAGCGGGTCGGCGGCGCTCGCTGGGCTGTCGAGGTCACCTTGATGGGCTGGGGCTCGGGCTTGGACGAGGACGGCTGCGGACGCCGCTACCTGGTGTCCGGGGGCTCGGAGTCGGAGTCAGCTGGACGAATGGCTTTTTGGGGGATGGCTTTGTTGGTATGTTTGTTAGGTGGGTGTTTTGGGATTCCATCGAGAAGTAGATTACCAATGGTTACCAGGGATTCTTGGAACGTGTTTCTTTTTTTTGCTTAAGATAGACCGAATCTGCAGGGGGAGAGACGCCTGCTGCGTTTCAGTGACCTGGAGGGGCGGTTCTCATGTTGGTGGGCCCCTTTTGCGGACACTGGGTGCCACCCAACCTGTGCCGAAGCAATAGCAGACGGTGCCGAAGAAACATGGTGTCAGCAGCAGTGTTACAAACCAGGAGAGCATTTTCCTTTGCCTCCCTCTCTCTCTCTATATTATACAAAGATTCGTCTTCGCGTTTGAATGTTGTCTTCTGGAAGTACGATCCAAATATGGATTTGGGATGATTACTATTTTATAGGTCTATTGCCACGTGATTGGTGGGGGACCTGGCCAGGACAATGTGTGTTCATTCTCAAAGTGCTGTGGCGTTGCAAAGGACAGGCATCAGAAAGACGGATAAACCCACTCCCCCCCTCTGTTTTCAAAAGGGATCTTCTCTCGAACCCAGGAAAGGTGGATCACGGGCAAACCCATTTTTTGAGGATTGGGGACCCCTCCACTCAAATCCAACCACCTGGTGCTTCTCAGTCACCGAACTTGAATCGCCTGCTTCTTTCGGTCATCAGTTCCAGGCCTGGAAGTTCGGTCAAAGACTCCAGGTTGTTTGGGTCACCAGTTCCAGAGCTGCATGGGAAGAAATTCCAAGTGGATGATTGGCCCAACCAATCCACCGACCGAAGCCAAAAGGAGCCCATCGGTCCATGGGAAAAGGATCTCACCGAAGTCGGTCGGAACAACCTAGGAACATCGGTCGAGAGGCCACCACTGTAGGACATTCCCCCCCCCCACCCTTCATGGTGGGATCACGGACTGCCCAAAGCCAACGGTTTTTCTGTCCCGAAGCAGCTATGAGACATGAGAGACATGATGTGCCGTTGACCCAGCTCCCAACCAGAATGAAATGGATGGAACGAAACCCAGTCCCAGCCATTTCCTATGCAAAGGATTTCAAGCAAGCCATATTGGAACAGCCATTTGTTTCCGGTTGGGACAGGGTAAACACAGGTATATCTGTTGCTTTCGGTGTGATTTCAGTCTCAGGAATCCCTTCTAGTCCTTGTTTGGCTGGAAAGACCGTCACCACCGTGTGTCACCCCCGGAAGGACGCCGGGTGGACCCGCCAGGTACGAACTCCTCGAGGGGGGCGATGTGGCCGGACGCCTCGCCAAAGCGCGTGCCGGGGGCGCCCAGAGTACCCGGCCTTGGCCGAAGGCCTGAACGGTCCGAGCGGGTTTTTCACGTTTGTTGGAAGGGACGAGGTAGTCGGCGAGCTGATCAAAACATGGGTTTGATAGGTGAACTGGAGTCTATAGGAACTTCCTTCACTTCGGTGCGGGTCAGATTTCGTTTGGATTGCTGGACTTCGGTCGCTTCGGTGGCCTGGCGCTTTTCAGACACGAACTTCGTCTCGGACCTCAAGTCCCAAGTGCCAATGGGTCTGGGACCAACTTCGATCAGTGGCCTCTTTAGAGTCTTGGTTCGTGACCTCATCCGGACCACAGTAGCAGGTCACTGAAGGAAGAGCCTGCGTTAAGATGGGATATCTTTTCTCCCGGTTTGGATATGTTCAATATATCTCTATACCCGTTCGCCTGACCTGTTCGGAACTGACCTGGTTGACCTGGTTGACCTGGGTCAACGGGTTTCGCCATGGGATGGCGACCTCCCTCGCCGATGGCGAACGGCCTCGTTCTCAGGGGAAGAACGGCGTGGTGACCCCTTTCAGCTGGATGGAAAGGCCCGATGTCTTAGGGAGAGAAACAGCGGATGCGGATGGGAAGGAAGAAGGAAGAAGGAAGAAGGAAGAAGGAAGGAAGAAGGGAAGAAGGGAAGAAGGGAGGAAGAAGGGAGGAAGAAGGGAGGAAGAAGGGAGGAAGAAGGGAGGAAGAAGGGAGGAAGAAGGGAGGAAGAAGGGAGGAAGAAGGG